ATCGGCAAGCAGGCTTTTGTATTGCAAAAAAGGCCTCTCCACAGTAGATGCAAAGAGATTCTAGCTGTGAACAATCTTCTGGGACTCATATTGCATCCTACAACTATTGCACGATGTCCAAAATGTTTCAGGTTCTGATGGAGGACATGGAACTGGCTGACGATTTCTGTCAGAAGTGTGCTGGGCAGTTGCCCGATTTCTTGGCTGGGATGGAGTTCGAGCAGACATTGAATTGGAGGTGGTTTCTGAAGCCTTCTGATGACTGGGGATGTTCTGGGCAGTGGTGGTATTTCTCGGATAATTTGGCTAGGGTGGAGTTGCAGCGTACGGAGAACTGGTGGCAGTTTTTTTGAGTTTTTTTTAGGACAGAGAACATGTTGGGAATTCTTTGGCCAGAGTGGAGGATTGTAATGTTCACTTGTGGCAGTAGCTGAGGCCCTTGACTGTGTCGGTGCTTTGTATCAGTCGCCATATTCCTTGCATCCTGTGAGTTGGAGATACTGGTGAAATTAGAGAAACCGCTTTTATCAGTTGGATATGGAGGCTGCGGAACTCTAAAATTCAGCTTCAGATTATACGCTGATCTCTTGTCGTTATCTGACAGGACATTATAGGCTTTAGTAAGAATGTCGGATGCTCCAGCGGCACCAATGGACTTGTTTTTATCAGGATGAAAGACCAGAGCCATTTTTCTGTATGTTTTACGTAATGTATCATTGTCAACAGAGGGATCGAAACCATAACGTACAAGTCTCCATGTCCATTTATTTTCTTCTGAGAGGCAACGTAGAGGTTAATGACCTCCAATAAAGGAGAAATACCCTCAAGATTTGGAAATAAACTTTGAGCCTTCAAAGCAAATTTATTGGCTCCGGCAAAGTCCTCATTCTCTAATATCTTCTCAGCGAGACCTTTACACTTTTAGCCTCTCTTTATTACAGTCCATTTTTGAAATGATTGTATTTGTCTCTGAAAACCTAGTACACCAGAAGAACAGAATTTATAGGAAGCGTATGGGAGCCATTTGGGGTAAAAACAAGAACCATGGTTAAATCTCTACCATGTTTAATTGCCCGATTGTTTGAATTTGAACTCTGGAATGTGGTAATCCTCTCTTGATTTAACCGGAGTTAATGCATTAAATGGAATTATATTTTGCCACTTATTGTGACTTTTAGATTCTAGTATTATCTTCTTGACTTTCTGATTTTAAAATTCAATAAATTAAAGCCTTTTTAATGCTTGGCCGCTTCAACATTTTCATCCTTTTGCTGCATTTCAAAGATAAATTGCAAAATTTTGTTAAATTACTAGTGTACGCACGTGCGATGCACGTGCTACAATTTAGTTGGGTATTTAATAGCGTGGAGTGAAAAGGATAACGAAGTACTTAATATATTTAGCATTGAAAAAAGAATAATAAAAAATAAACGAATTCCTTCCTTGTCTATCAGAATAATGACTTGTCAATTGTCATCAAAGATTCTATAACATTTTTTAGAGTATTGGCTGCTGCATCATGAGTTCTTTATTGCAGAAGTTCAGGTGATTGAAGCATATACTTGACCATCCTCTATTAGCTATTAAAATTGTTAGGTGGTTGTTATTTTTATGGATCTTATAT